ATCCAATCCCTGGGATTGTCCTCTGCCACATCTCCTATAGTCTCATGATGAGCAGGAGATCAGGGTTCAAATCCAGCTACTGCAACTTTAACAAAAATCTCTTCAAACTTCATATTGTCACACAATTACCTTAATTACAAACATCTGCTGACGTGACAGGTACAAGCTGGTTTAGAAAACACATTTGAACTTGGTCGAAGTTCGTTCTGAAAGTCCAATCCTCCTGCATACTTTGTCCTACAGCTGCCATTGTAATTTCTATCTGTAAAGGTCCTGTGCCAAATGATTGCTATGCCTTTTGGTACCTGTACCACTTGTAGTTTTTGAAATATTAATGTTTAAACTTTATTCCAAATTCATATAATGGGAGTCAATGGGGCCTTGTAATGGTCCAATACTGCCCCATGCTGTAGTCAACTTGGTACTGCACCAAAGTTTTTTTTTATATTTAATCTCAATAGTTAAGTGTTCACAATACTGATATGATTGTATTTTGATGTTTTACTATAATATTGTMTTAATACTGCTCTATTGTTGTAATATTATGCAGTTTAGTGTCAATAATTGTATTGGCAATCTGGCCTCTTTCTGCACACATACAAACCAACCCCTGCACTACCTTCTTCCACAGCTCCATTGGTCTAATGGTCTATGTCATGGACTTTCATGTGGGAGATCAGGGTTCAAAACCCGGCTAATACAACTTTAAGAAAAAAATCGCTTCAAACTTCATATTGTCGCACAATTACCTTAATTACAAACATCTGCTGACGTGACAGCCACAAGCTGGTATAGAAATTATATTTGAACTTGGTCTAACGTCTGTGTTTTTTATTTTCAGGTTTGGACATCAAGGTGGACGGGATCACCATGACCACAAACTCCACGGGGAGGTTCTGTGGAACGGCCTACGTTGAGTTCTCCTCTCAGGAAGACGCTGACAAAGCTCTGCTGAGGCACCGGGATCTGATGGGTCACAGGTGGGCGTCTGCCGGAGCGAACGGTCAAATTACAGGTGAAGGATCTCTGATCTGGACTTCCTGTGTGTCTGCAGGTACATCCAGGTGTTCCCCAGCAGCAAGAGCTCCATCCGGTCCAGTGACTGGGACACACAGTACAATTTAAGCCCTCCTCGGGAGACGGGCTACAGAGCAGGTTCTGACCCTCAGACCGAGTCCAGACATGGTGAGAGAAGTCCTCAGGAGACGGGCTACAGAGCAGGNGCTCTATTGTTGTAATATTATGCAGTTTAGTGTCAATAATTGTATTGGCAATCTGGCCTCTTTCTGCACACATACAAACCAACCCCTGCACTACCTTCTTCCACAGCTCCATTGGTCTAATGGTCTATGTCATGGACTTTCATGTGGGAGATCAGGGTTCAAAACCCGGCTAATGCAACTTTAACAAAAAAATCTCCTCCAACTTCATATTGTCACACAATTACCTTAATTACAAACACATGCTGATGTGGCAGGCACAAGCTGGT